ATACACTAAATTACTACAAATTAATAGTCATTAGTTTTTTTTAAAACTTTAGCATTCTTTCAATATATACCAAATATAACATAAATTATCTAAAAAGAAAAAAACAATATTTATATAAACACACATATTTAGCTATTTTAGGGATGCATGAATACATATTTGGACTATAAAATTGTTGATCTATAAAGAGATCTATTGGTATGGAAAAAATATAAAAAACTCAAATGCAATATTTTTAAACAGTTCGGTTCGGTATTTTTCAGTTCTCAATATTTAGGATCGATCCTGTACCCGTTTAAAATGGTACAGTTTCGGTTCAGGGGTAAAATTCTATAGAACCGTTCAAGTACCCGATATTCAGTAAGGTACCATTACGGTCCTGTTCGGTTCGGTTCGGTTTTTATGCTCACCCCCAATTTTTATCGTGTATCAGAATAGAAATATTTATTAATTTAATTTAATAAACCAAATGGAGGTCATTTTTGTTGTGCGTGTTTGGTTTTATTTGGTGATTTTAAACGGTTGAGATGCCCTTTTTGTGCATTAATTATATGAAAAATAAAATGACTTTCAATGTTGATGAAGTGATGTGAGTTTTCTCGCACTTAAAAAGATTATAGAATAGTGGTGAAAGTACGAGTATCGTCTCCACAGAGACGGACAAAAGGGAATTAAAGATTAACTAAATTCAGCGATTAAAAAGAAATAAAATTAAATTAATGCGTCGTGCGAGATTGATTGGTTGAATTGAAACTAAACTAATGCGAATGAGCGAATAAAAGTAAATATTTGGGTTTTTCTTAATTAACGGCGAAGGGAACAAGGATTGATTCCGGGGTAATCAAATTTCTGACAGATCAGGCTTAATTACATGAATTTAATTTAATTGAGCCTAACTAATCAATACTAAGTTCTTACCGCTCTCGCGGCGTAGAGTACAATAATTTAGGGGACCAAGCTGATCTCTCATGCGACAGGATCCTAAATTATTGCCAAGACGAACGAGCTTACGGCCCCTTAATCGCTACTAATCTCTTAGCGAACGATTAAGTGTGTGTGAATGTGTCCTAGAATAAACTAGATCTCTCTTAATTTATTCTATGTGCAATTGTAATTCTAGCCGCGGTTCCAGATTACAAAAGATAACAATTAAATTATTCAAACACAAATTAAATGACATTCATGTAATCAAACCATCAAGAAACTAGCCATACATCATGATAAACCTCTTCATCAACCCCAAATCCCTAATTAAAACTACTCGCAATTCATAATTGAAGAATCAACGGCGTGCCTGCCTGCCAGGCACGACCGTGTCTGGGTTCCAGTAGCTTCTCGTATTTCTTCTTCAGGCACGATCGTGACTAACTTTGAGGGCACGACGGTGTCTACTTAAGTTCCGAATTTGGAAATTCTTCCTTCGTGTAAGTTGTAGATAATGAAGTCTTCTATCCACCACAACTTGCATAATTGGATTTGAATCACCTAATCAAGAGATATGATCAAAATGGTGGAAGATCTCATTCTGAAATTGCAACAGGGATCATCTGACTTCATCGTCTGTTTTCACCTTCTTACTCTCATATTCTCGCAATGGTGTCTTCATATGATTTGTATCCCTTGAAGTTGTATTTCATATGGACTTTGAATCGTGTACATTGAATGTTTCTACAAAGACATATGCTTGAACGATTGACAGAAGGTCATCCTGATCGCCGATTTCAAGCTCCAAATCTCTCAATTCACCCCCGAATGCTTATCAACTCATCCTGATTTCTTCTCAAGCGCCGATGTTGAACTCTAAAATCCTCATTTTGACTCTAAATGACACAAAACTCGAACCAACGCCTGTTAAACATAACTTGAGCTAAAATTGAGACTTGTAACACCTTAAAGCCAGGAAAACCATCAAAAGTCAATCTCAACACACATCAAATGCGTGTCTAAATACGGACTTATCAGATTCCCCCACACTTAAGCCTTTGTTTGTCCTCAAGCAAACTGAACAACAGGACTTACGATAATCACCACACGGAATCAAAACAATTAGCATGCACATGTAGTTAAAGGGATATTCACAGAACAGACAAACTAAACCAAGAAAATTCTTCCCTAAACTACATCTTTGTACTCAAGCTAAACTATTTGACGAAGTACTCACAACATCCTCGGAGTAATGACAGCATAACACAAATAAACTAATTATTGATCAGAAGGACTTGTGAAAGTGATTGTGAATTGTAAAAAACAGTCCCTTTCTTTTGATAGATTGAAATATTCTAACAAAGACTCGATGCATTCAGGAACTTCAGGGCTATTCTTAAGATCAAGGAACTCAGAATGACACAATTTTAGGAACAATCATCTAAACCTATGCAAAGAGCAGGCATGGTGTACAACTAAGCTAAACCGCCGTGGCACATTGGTGCTTTGACGCATACTTAAAGTACGCGGAGGACTAAAGCTAATTTTGCTAAAGCCTCCAAGTTCATTAATTAAGTGTAGTTTTACTTGTCATGTTGGCACGAGAACGCCATTTCTTT